GTTTTCAATACCAAAATAATATAAATCGTTAGAACCTTGTTAATAAAATTAAGTTAGGCAATGTCTAGTAATAATGTAAAATATATTAAAAAAAACTCTATTAGCAATTTTATAATATTCTAACAAAATGACAGCAATACATTAACAATTTAATGTATAGATATTTAATAATTAAGTAGTATAATTTATCTGTAATGTAAATAAATGTATGTTGCAGTGCTGGAGAAGAATTATTTAATTATTATAAGTTTTTAGATGATGAATATAAAAAAAGGTTAAAATCATTTGTATAGAAATATTAAAGATAAAAAACATTCAAGCTTATAGTGAAAGTCAGTAATTGTGATGGTCATGGTTGGCTTAGCTGTTAATGTTTAATATAAAGTAGGACACTAGCAGTAGGCTAATGTATAAAAGTGATAATATTTGGAGTTGAATGATTCGTTTTCTAGATAGTTTGTAAATGACATGTGTTATTGGTACATTAAGTATACATAGTAAAAGCATGCATTGATTATCGAAAGAATATTAGATGTAGCACCTTTAGTATTGTAAAGTAGACAGTAGCTAAATCAAAAAATGTCTTGGAAAAACAATTAACAAAATATAGAGCAGATTAAATTGAATATTTTGTTACACATCTTAATATATACACACACACACACACACACACATATATATATATATATATATATATATATATATATATATATATATATATATATATATATATATATATATATATATATATATATATATATATATATATATATATATATATATATATATATATATATATATATATATATATGTATATGTATATATATAAATTTTAAAAATAAGACAAATTTTTTAATTTTATTTAAAATTATTTTATTTATCAAGACATATTTTGACTATATATAGTCATAATTAGTTAAAATATATTTGTTAAAAACGATATAAAATATACTATATAATTTTAAAAGTAAACATAATAAAAGCCATAAAATTGTAAACAAGCTTCCTATATATACAAAAAGAATTATTAAAAATTGTTTTAAAAAATGTCAAATATAACAAAAGAAACCAGTAAATTATATTAAATTATGAGTCATTTTAACATGGTTTACTTGTTTATTCATATCGGGTTTTCCTATCCTATATGAATGCTTTCTTTAATTTTTAATTCAATTTTGTTTTTTGCAAGATCCAATATCTAAAAGCACTTATCATTATAATTTGTAAAACATTTTTCTTTTGTGTGAAGATGCTTATAAATAAGAGTTTTTATCCCTTCTGTAGTGTTCAATCACTCGCGTCTTTATATGGCGAGAGGTTTCGCCAATTAAACAGGATTTAAATCCTGCAAAAAACAAATTTGTAAACAACGAATGATTTAAAATCTACAGGAAGGTGATTTGTTGATGAAAAAAATTAGACATTTTAAACGAAGTAAATACTAATTTTACGGTAACCGACTTAGAATGTGTTTTCATAATTGCGTGTAGCGTTCGTTTCGTTAGGTCAGATATTTGACCAATATAACGGAGTTTGAAAAAGCGAGTGTTTGTACACTCTTGCGGTAAGTGTGGAGTTTTCCTCCACACCGGTTTGTAGCAAGCACTCCTACACACAAGTGTGGAGTTATTTTGCACACTTTTGTGGAAATTAACTTTTTCTAACTCGATTTCTGCACAAAAGTGTGGAGTTATTTGCACAAAACTGTGCAAAATAACTCCACACTTGTGTCTAGGAGTGATAGATACACACTAATGTGGAGGAAAACTCAACTTTTTCCGCGAGTGTGTATATGTAGTATATACATTACAATAGCTACTTTACACATTTTTTAAATTTAATAAGTGATAGAGTATTGCTTTAATTACCTAATGTGGATAGAATATTACCATCAAACAATCAAAATTCTAAAATTTTGATTGTTTGATGGTAATATTAATTAAAACCATCAAACTAGGTATAAATCAAACAATCAAAATTCTAAAATTAAAAGTATAAATTTTAAATTGATTAAAGTATAACTGCATTTAATGGTAGATAACTGAAAGATAAGTATTTTATTATCTAATTACCGATGTAGTATTAAGATAAAATTTCCATCAGGACCATTGATTGTCATCAAGGAGTTTTAAAGGCCTGGTGCCTCACCAATTGTGCCTACACTGTGGACACTACCTTGCTAAAATAGAGCCCGTGCTCAAATTTGTAAAACACTAGTATTTTGTAATGGGATGATGTAACTTGGGTTTAGTGTGTTCTCTTCTTGGTTGATTCTGACCAGAGTCTTTGTGTAAAATATACTTTTTTATTACAATCATGATGACTGGAACTTACTAATCATGATTGTAATAAACTAATCATGATTGTAATAAAAAAGTATATTTTGGCATTAGTAATACACCATTTAAACTAAGATACGCAAACCATCTCAAATCATTTGCATCAGTTAAATATAGAAATGACACAGAACTATCTAAAGAGGTATGGAACTTAAAAGACCAAAACATAAAGCCTATTATAGAATGGAAAATTGTCAAACGTTGTAAACCTTACAATCTAGCAACAAAAATATGCCACCTTTGTCTCTACGAAAAATATGTAATTTTATCACATAATGGAAAAAACCTACTGAATAAAAAAAACGAAATCGTATCTCAGTGTCGACATTCAAAAAAATTCCTCTTATCTTTATTTGACACAGGGGACTAATAAACTATAACGGCTTTTTGTTTTTTGATTTGTTTTTTACGTAGATTTGTTTATAACGTCAGATGTCATTCTACAGTAATTTTTACGTTTTTGTAACGGTTTGTTTACGTTTTTTGTTTGTATTAACGGCTGATGATTGCCTTCGGGCATGAAACTTTAAGTCCCGCTTATCAGTTGTTTTTATTCATCTAAATATAATTATATATAGCTCTATTATTCAGTAATATTGAGCACTGTAACACGTACAAGAGACTTCGTATTATTACATCAAAATACTTAACCTCGAATATATACTATATATCGAAATCTATACAAATATATATATATATATATATATATATATATATATATATATATATATATATATATATATATATATATATATATATATATATATATATATATATATATATATATATATATATATATATATATATATATATATATATATATATATATATATATATATATATATATATATATATATATATATATATATATATATATATATATATATATATATATATATATATATATATATATATATATATGTATATATATACAGCATCGGACAAAACAAGTGCAACCAAATAATGCTAATCTAGTTTCTTTATATAAAAGTGCTGCATTTTTTCAATTTAGAGAAATAACTATGTAACTGTTTAGAGACAATGTTCTTCAATTTTTATTCATCACAAAGTTCATTATTTGTACAAAAAAATTAATAAAATAATCAAAAGTATTAAAAAAAGTTGATTTCTTTTTGGACAAAACAAGTGCAACTCCACAAAATGTTGACCAAGCTGTATTTCGCTAATAATATTTCGAGACGAATCTTTTGTTGTCGATCACATCCTTGCATCTTCGAGGCATAGATTCGATCAGGTGATTAATGAAACTTTGTGGAATTGCTGCCCAGGTTTTTTGGATTTGTTCAAACAGATGATCTTTATTACGAACACCTTCACGATTAATTCTGCGGTTGTTGATCTCCCACAGGTTCTCGATAGGGTTGAGATTCGGAGATTGAGGCGGCCAATCCATCACCTATAGGTGGTTGTCTTGAAACCACTGCTTGACTACTTTTGCAGTGGGTTTCGGATAGTTGTCTAGCTTAAAAACCATTTTATTGGCATATTCCATTCAGCATGAGGTAACATAACATCTTTCAGCATATTTTTATACATGATTTGGTCCATTATTCCATCGATTCGATGTATTGGACTTAGACCGTTAGCAGAAAAATACCCCCACCCATTACATTGCCTCCACCATGCTTTACGGTTTTATGGCAGTAACGTAAATTGAGGCTTTTTCCGGGCGGTCAACGTACACGGCAAATACTACCGTTTATCCAGGGACTACTAAAACAACGGGACGCGAAACTCTAATTTCATGTAGTTTTGACGACAGGGCCGATGAAAAAAAAAGCGAAACACTTCTATTATTAAACAAAAATATAATTATGAATAGAAATTTAATAAAAAAATGTTATGGCTCAATTATTTATCAGTATTTTCAAACAAAAATTAAATTGTGTTGATTAAGTGTTAAAAATAAATCAACTTTTTACAAAGAAACTGTAAATTATCCGTAATTTAGCTGTAAATAATTATTTTTAAAGACAATGTTAATAAACTAATTAATCACTACTTATCATACTATATTATATTCATATCATAATAATAAATATATAATTATAAACAAATTTTAAACCATATAAATATAAAGCCATAAATACATTTCAAAACGTTATTAATTATATCACCAACGTCAACTAAATAATCAGACCACTAAGTATTGAGTTTCTTTCTTTTTCTGTCCTCAATGTTTAATGAAACAATATCAGATGTATTATCAAGGGTCGTAACACCTTTTAAGAAACAGTTAGTTATTATTGAGATAACTTTTGAAATACCTATACTGTCTGTCTCTAAATCAAATGGTAATGTTGAATGCAAGAATAAAAATAATTTCTTTAAATAAACAACACATTGAAAACGTTTTTCAGATATTGGAATGCTGTTAAACAGTAGATAACAAACACAAATAAACTGGAGAAGAGTATCACCAGGATAACGCAATTTACCACGTGAAACATAATCTGTAAATTCAGAACTAGCTGATTGTGATGTTGTTGTATCAACTATACGCTGCAGATTGATCTTGTGCTGTACATAACCAGCCATATAAAAAAGGGTAGCATTCTCCTGATCATTAATAGATTCATTGTCTGCATTAATTAAACATTCATCTAAATAAATAATATCCTCTTCCATTAGATCCATTGTGCAACAGTCTGAATGTATGCGTGAGCAATGAATGTCAGTTTCATCCAAAGAAACTATTTTGCTGAATAATTTTAACCGCTGAAGGTGCAAACTGTTTAATACTTGTTCTGCTGAGATAAAACAATTTCCGCCACTTAGTTGTCTACAAATAAGTAAAAAAATTGCAAAAAGATATAACCAAATAAATTGAGTTGAACCGAGTATTAAATTATAGTTAAAACAGCAATTATCAAATAAAAACGCATCAATAAACTTATGTATGTTAAAAAATAATACATTTAAATAAATGAGAGAAATATTTATTTTTTAGATTTCAAATCTACAAAATTTTCTTTACTATAAGTAACACAAAAATAATTTTACCTGTAGATGCCAAATTCACCTTCAAGACGATCTGTTTGAAAAATACCGGGAAGAACATATTGGTGATCTTCTGAAAGCAGTTTTTTATTAATTCTACCAATCCTTGTAGGGTGTTAACTAAAGCATGTCTTGTTTCTGGTGTAAAAGTATTATGACGCTTTAATCCCTTTCCCTCTGACATCTTAGAAGTTGCATCAGCAAATGCTAAAATTTCTTTAAACCTAAGGTCATCGAGTGTCTGGAAAGGAGACCTATTGATATCATTAAGTAAAACATCACAACCTTTCCTCTTTACATTTAGCATGTTCCATAATAAAACAATTGGTGCTAAAAAACAGGCAGTGTTCTCAAAATTAGCTAATCTCAATGCTGCAACAGTTTTTTTATTAAATACAGCAACCATGTTTGCAACATTTTGTCTATCAATCAAACTAGGGTACACTGACTTGCGTGAAAGCTTTGTAGTTTTGGCAACACAAGTTTTCTGTCTGTTATATAATTGAACAATGTGAGACCAATCACCAGAGAAAGGTTGATTATTAATTTTTAAACTAATTGTTTGTGTTTTTTCCGTAAACCAATTATTTCTTATACTTTTAAACAAGTGAACTGGATCGTGTAGCATAATAACTGGTTTTTCTTTTTCTATAACACCTTGCCATGGAAAACTTTTATTAACAACAAAATTTTGGTAAACACTTCGATTTGTGGGATGGTTATCTGATAAAAGACAGTAATTCTCCTCCTGCATCAATTATTTGTTTATTTATGTTTATAATCAAATCGTGAAGAAAGTGCACTGATAGTTTAAATATTGGTACAATTCTACAAACAAAAGAAGGTTTACCAAACATAGGTTTAATCATAAAGACTAATAACGTTTTTGCAATTTTAGTGGGATTGTCCTCACTATATCCAATGAGGTGTCCTCCTCTGAAACTAACACTTGGTTTAATATACATCTCATCAAAGAGAAGGCAGCAATGCTTTTCAGAACTATTAAAATTTTCAAAAACAACTTTGATTGTATTATTGCACTCTTTTTCATTTCCAACTCCAACTCTTCCTAATTTTAAAATGAGAGTCTTTGGACTGGGCAAACAATACAGATTTCTTAAATGTCGATAACAACATCTGGAGGACAAATACAGTTCAAGTGCACGACGTATACATAAAGTAGAAAAGCGCAGTCCATTTGGAGAATAAGTGGTGAGGCGTAGTTGTTCAATGAGGAAAGAAATTTCTTCAGAAGTATCACTGTATGTATTTTCAATTTGACTAATCAAACTTAATACCTCATCTTTTATTTCAGGACTAGAGGTACAAACTCTTTTGACAATAGCTTCAAGCTGTGACCACCGAGTAAGACAATGAGAAAAACTGAGCAGGTCATAGCAGCTAACTTTTGTAAGCCTACAATAAATATTAACTTGACGTGAATGACAGTTAATTTCAACAGAAAATATTGTTTCAGGTAGACATGATCGAGAAACATCAAACAATATGACTTTTGAATTTTCAATGAATGCAATGTATTGAGGATATCTAAAATAGATTTAATAACAAGTAAACTTTAAATCAAAACAAACAAATATCATAAAACGAGGAGAAAAAATTAATTTTACCTTTCTTTTATTTCAGACAACATTATTTCAACATAAAATCTAATTAAATCAATTTGATTGAAATCATCCAATTCATCAGGTATTGCATTTCGTGATGTTAAAGAAATTTTATTTATATTTGTAGATCTTGGTTGTGTTGAGACTGTTTGGCGCACCATTGAAGATGTGCATCCAGGAAAAGTAGATGGGGGATCAAAAGGAACCTAAAAAAGATATTAATAAAATTAGTCATTGTAAAACTTATCAATAAAAACAACTTTAAGGATGCTTACCTCAAACTTTGATCGAGGAGGCTTATGCATTTTGCAGCCTGGTGGCCAGTGTTTTTCACACACACCCATATTTGACTTTTTCAAACGCATTTGAAATAGATGACAACCAATATTGTAACTTTTGTGTGTCACTTGGAAACATACAAACATGAAGCTTTTCTTCTGAAGTTGATGTTAAATAATTTGTGGTACAATTAACTATTGAACATTTTCTTGGCATGATTATAACTAATAATAGTTACACCATTATTATTTATTATAAATGACATAACATTTTGTAACACTGAATAGATTCACTACTTAAAATAATTTATTCAAATTAAAAACTACTTAATACAATTTTTTAATCTTACTACTTTCAAAAAATAAAAAACTTTTGATTTTTCAATAAAAATAGCAACTTTTTTCAAAAAAAAAAAAGGCTTTTTTTTAAAAAATGTTGTAAATATCTCCCAATATTTCTATTGCATTAACCTATATTTTATCAGTACGATACTGATGAAAAATATATACATTATATTAGTAATATAAATTTGTATCACTTTAATGTATTCTAAAATGTGAATATAATTAGATTAATGTAAGTTTTTCATAACTTCTTTGCTAAATCAAACTAGCATCGCCATTTACAATCGGCCCTGTCGTCGTTTTAGCATCGATTTGAAGTTTCGCGTCCCGTTATTTTAGTAGTCCCTGCGTTTATCACAAATACTTTTTTATCACAAATACTTTTTTGTGACATTCCACTTACGTAACCGCCAATAGTTTTCTTTCTTAGTTCCAATCCAAGACGGACGGGAGCCATTTTTGCACTTGAAGTAATAAAAATAATAAAAGTAAATAATCACGCTTCTCAAGGCTTACCGTGTTACATTTACCTTGTGATGATACAATAATGTTCTGTGGAACACAACATCTTGGTTAAATGTGGACTGTATTGATGTAATGAAACACTTGTTGTATTTCGCTTCTTATATTGATGCTCTTCGATAAAATAATTTGATAAAACTCACTTCGATAAACTGTCTTGATAATAGTGACTGATTGACTTTCATATACTAACTGAATTACATGTCGGTTTACATGTCTCTTATATAGTAAAATGAACTTGTGTTAACCTGTTCTGGAAGATTCTAGATGCTTCTTTTCAATGCTTTTGGAAGCTTCTGGATGCGTCTGGATGCTTTTGAATGTTTCTGGATACTTCTGGATACTTCTGGATGCTTCTGGATGCTTCCAGATGCTTTTTCTGGAAACTTCTAGAAGCGTCTGCATGCTTCTAAAAACTTCTGAATACTTCCTTTAATTATTAAAAAACTTCCGTGACGTTGACACGGACCAGACTTAAGAAAATAAAACAAACCAAAAAAGTTGCACTTGTTTTGTCCGCTGCAAAATGGCACTTGTCAACGAGATTCTGCCTGTGTACTGTCACCTGTCAGCTGATTGCTCATGTCATGGCATGCTATGACTCCAGACTCCTTAACTGTTTGCTGTGATAGTATAGTTCGTTTTTAAGACATGTAAAATTAGGAACACTTTTTAGCATTGTTCGATATCGGTTGCAAATGTTTTGTCCAATACTGTATATATATATATATATATATATATATATATATATATATATATATATATATATATATATATATATATATATATATATATATATATATATATATATATATATATATATATATATATATATATATATATATATATATATATATACATATATATATATATATATATATATATATATATATATATATATATATATATATATATATATTATATATATATATATATATATATATATATATATTTATATAAATAAATATATATATATATATATATATATATATATATATATATATATATATATATATATATATATATAATATATATATATATATATATATATATATATATATATATATATATATATATATATATATATATATATATATATATATATATATATATATATATATATATTTATTAGATGCTTATCTTCCGGGATTTTATTTGACGAGTAGTGAAACCGCTCATTGTATTTACAAATTTAGTCTGCTTTTTGAAGAAGGGGCAAATATTATAAAGTTAATGTTGTGGAAATCATTTATTATTAGGGCAAAAGCGGGTTCACTTATCGGATCAAAGTTAGACATCCTAAAAAGTTAAAGCGATTTTGAAATATCATAGCGTCTGTTTGATATTTTGCTGTCTACCGCATATTTTCGTTAAATGATCAGGTCTGTGAATTATGAAAAGATAAAAAGAATTAAAATCATAATTTTTGCCGTAACATAAAATATTATTTTAGGTGGCAAAAAAATCAAAGACCAAATATTCTTTTTTTTTAAAAAAATTAAAAAAACTTATTAAAATCACGGTTGCATGTCCAAATTTGAATAAGATTTTAAATAAATACCTTGTTGCGGTGAAATGAACATCATAGTTTAATAATAAGAACCTAGGTTTACCTATTATTCTTCATTGACTTGTAGGGCATTGATTCTTTTACACAGTCAGTGTCACATGTCTTAAAAAAAATAGGAAAAAAGTAAATTCCGCCATTCCGGGTTAAAATACTGTAATTCCGGCCGGAACCGATTTTTTCGGCCGGACCATAATTCCAGTACATCCCTACTACTAAGTAATGCAACATACAAATAAACAGTAGCTGCAAAAATATGTTTTCTTGATTTAATTTATGAACAGGTACTTAATGTTTAGTTGAAACAAATCAACGAGAAACCTAAAATTAAAAATAAAGCGGATAAAAGAATGAAAACTATAAACAGTTACTGTTTTTTTTTTTTCAAAAAGCTTACAAAAAACTATGTTTATTTCCATATTTTGAAGATGTTGCCAAACTGAAATGTTTGCTTTGTAACTTGGTGTTTGCATTATGCACAGGATTTTTTTAATATAACCTTTTTATAAACATGCTAAAAAATAAGTTGCACCGCGTGGTTAGAAATCTTTCTTTTATCTCCATCTTTAGAAAAATTTAAGTTGTTAATTGTGTTCTAATGTTTGTTTTAGCAAATTATAACTTAGATTTCTACTAAGTAGACAAAACATTACTTTAAGGATCTGTAAAGTATACAAAATTTAACTTTAAAGAACTGTTCATAAAATAAATTAAAAAAAGACATTTTTTAATTTATTTTATTTGTATGTTGCATTACTTAGTAGCTTCATGTTCTGGACATTTTATAAAAGATTTAAAATCAGAACTTAAAAAAAACTTCAAAAAAAGAAATCTCAAATAAAAGACTTCTGAAAATATCTTTCAGCTTCTGATTAAAGATCATGTTTATTTACACTTTCATGTGTATCTATGTATGTGGTCCAGACTACCTATGAAAATAATAAACAGCTGAAAGCGTTAAAAAAAAATGATTGCTTTAGTAGAGATGTACCCCTGAGGTACAAACTTTTCTATTCAAATTTACTACTACCGATAGGCTTTTTTGAATAAAAAAAATAACTGACTTTGCCTTGTTGTTTTGTTGAATTCAAATACGTTTAAATTAAAACTTAATACGCTTGTTAAAAAAAGAATAACTGCCCATTAACAATTAGAAATTAACATATTATTAACAAAATTTATTTGTAACATTAAAACTCTCTTCTCATTTTAAATTATCTTGTCATCATCATTCTCTAATATGAAGAAATTAAAATTATGCGTAGGGTGACGCATATATTGTAAGGTATAAGAGCAGCTTAAAATTTTGATATTTAACAAATAAATTTTCAGGTATCCCATAATTTATTTGAAATAAAAAAGGAATTATATGCGCACATTTTAATATAAAGTAAAAAGAAGCTGTTGTGTAATATTGTTAAGCTTAACCATAGTAGATTTTGATCCAGCCATTTTTTTTAATTAGGTATGTTTTTGAAACCAGATGACCAAATTCTAAAAAAACGTAAGTGCTTTTATTTTTATTTTACAAACTGCTTTTAACTTAGCATGCCTTTTAATTTTGTTTAAATTAGTCTATAACAAATATAGTTTTCTTTTATTTAGCTGAATTCTTTACGTAGTTGGGGCAACTTAAAGAATTCAGTCGAATAAGAGAAAATAGCTGGTGAAATGACTTAACATTTAAAAATTTAAATTTAGATAATAAGTATAGGTTTTGGAGTAAAAAGACTGTATCCTAAAGTTACCTCTTCACTTTATTTACCTTTGTTACTTTATCCAACTAAAAGTATCCTTTAACTTTTTAGGTAAATTTAGTATAGATAAAATGAAAATAAATATCAACAATATGTCACAACTTGACATACGTTCATACAAAGTTTTGTATGAACATATTTACAGGTATTTGTACCTTAAAATGTATGGGTACCTTGAAATGTCCGTAACTGAATTTTGGTCTCTTATATTTTTAAATCAAGTGAAAAAAAAGGTTTATATTATACAAGGAAGTAACCAAGGCATGACAGAGTTTTGAAAATAATCGTGAACGAACAATTGTTTTGAAACTGCACAACTACGAAGACAAAAAAGTGATCACTGGTAACGCATCGAAGCTAAAAGGTACCAATATTTTTATTAATGAAGACTTTTGTAGCACTACTCAAAAAATTCGAAAAGAGTTATTTGCTAAAGCAAAATTCATAGACAAAACGGTTTTTAAGCTACAGTTGTTTATAATAAACTAATTGTCCATGAATTCCGACAAAATAAATGTGCAAGCACATAAAATGTAATACCTCGGGATAAATAATTTATTAATATATATATATATATATATATATATATATATATATATATATATATATATATATATATATATATATATATATATATATATAGGTAAATTATCATATACTTACTTAAAAATGGATTCGAATAATATTTTTCAACAAGGTTTTGAAAATATTATTTTTAACCCTTTTAAAGACAATTTAAAAAATATCACAAATATTTTTCAGAAACTCAAAGGAATTTAATGAAAACACAGTATTTTGATCCTTATGATTTTAAGGGAAGAAAGAAATAAATTCATTTTATATATTACAAATAAATATTAGGAGCATAAACCAAAACTTTGACAAGTTTAAAGAATTCTTAAATATTATAAATTACACGTTTGACGTCATATCTCTTTCAGAGACCTGCAGCCGTAATTCTAATCTCTCCCTTAAGCTTAACGGAGCTTTTATCTGAAATTTCATTACAATATATCAAAGTAAAGAAATGACGAAAACCTTATTTAAATTTTTTAAAATAAAACTAATACTAAATAAATCGTTTATTTTTGAAAATTTATATTTTTAAAGAACTTTTTTATTAATGTAGTTAAAAAGAAATTTTTTACTTACGCTCCGTTAAGCTCAACGGAGAGATGAGAATACGACCCCTGGCATGACAATACACTTAAGTGTATTAGGAAATTCGTAAATAGAATTAGAATCAATTGATTTTAATTCTATTTACGAATTGCCTAATTATAAATTACTTAGTCAACCGCGAGAAAGTAATAAAAACGGAAAGAGTTGGTGTTTATGTTTTAAACAAATATTCATTCAAAATAAAAAATAAACTACGCTCGTCAAATCTTATTTATGAAAATCTATTTATTGAAATAATAAATGACAAAGATAAAAACAATTTAATTAAGTGCGTATATCGCCCACCGAGTGGAAAAATTAAATTGTTTGAAGAATTCATAAAAAATACAGTCTCAAAAAAAAAAAAAGAAAAAAAAATTGTTTATTGCTGGCGACATAAACTTGAACGCTCTGGCATATAAAAAATATACAAAAACAAAATATTTTTTTGACATGCTTTTCAAATATAATATCTTACTAGTTATCAATAAACTAACTAGGGTAACTAAAAGTTCGGCAACTGCAATCGAAAATATCTTTATTAACAATTATATAAAAAACGTCATTTGAGGCAGGTATTTTTAAAACTGGTATTAGTGATCACTGTCAATATACGTTAAAATAAATCCTTTCAAAGCCCCATCCAACGGGGATCCCAAAGGGGATCCTATTACCCTAAAAAAACGCAACCTATCAGAAGTTAATAAGAATAATCTTTCAGATAAATAAGATTATTCTTATTAACTTTCTTATTAAAAAATATATTCTTATTAATCTTTCAGATAAAAATAGTTTATCTGAAAGATTAATAAGAATAATCTTTCAGATAAACTAAAGCAAGAGACGTGGAATTAGATTTTTAATTGTGATAATACAAATGAAGCATTTAATATTTTCTTTAAGACATTTCTTGACATTTATAACAAAATAACTAAAAAAAAAAACAATATTGAATCCTTGGATGGATAAAACTCTTATAAAATGTTCAAGAAATAAACAAAAACTTTATAATAAATTTTTAAAAAACAGAACTGAAATTAATGAAAAAAGTTACAAAAAATATAAACACTTTTACGAAAATCCTCTCAAGAAAGCTAAAAAAAGATATTATAGTAAAGAAATAACAAAAAACAAATTCGATGTGAAAAAAACATGGGATTTAATTAACGATATAATGAGAAGAAATAAATAAATACGGCTATACGACCTCAAAGAATAAATATAAATAAAACTGATATTTATTGTCCATTACAAATCTCGAATGAGTTAAATAAATACTTTAGAAACATTAGCCCTAACCTTGCTAAAAAAATCATAACTACACCAAATTCTTTTCAAAAATATCTTAAATCTTTAAATGGCGCGATACAGCAAGATCGCGACTTTTCTCATGAAGAGTATGAAATTGCTTTTTCTTTTTAAAAAAAGTATAAATAACTTGGTTTCAATGACGTTTCTAGTAATATAGTTATTTCAAATAAAAAACACATCTCCAAACCTTTGTTCCGTATTATAAAACTTTCAATAAAAAAAAGGAATTTTTCCTGAAACATTAAAGTTGGCAAAAGTATATCTAATTTACAAAAATAATGATCAATCTGAAACCAATGAAGACCTGTATCAGTACTTTCTGTGTTTTCAAAAATATTTGAATGTTTAATTTATAATAGAATCTATAACCATTTTAATGTAAATAATTTATTTTACGCAAAACAGTTTGGTTTTCGGAAAAAACATTTAACAGAACACACAATAATTTAAATATTAGACCAAATTACTAAAGGATTTGAAAATAGTAACTTTACTTTAGGATTATTTATTGACCTATCAAAAGCATTTGATACAATTGATCACCTAATTCTTTTGGAAAAAAAAACACACTATAAAGTGATAAATAAAACCATGATTGGTTAAAAAGCTTCCTCACTGAAAAAAAACATTATGTTATTATGTTAATTTTTTGTGGAGTTCAAGGGTCGATTCTTGGTCCATCGCTTTTCTTGATTAATGTAAATGATTTTTTCACAAATCTTTTCCTTTCAAACTGTGACATTAATCAACTGTATTCTGACATGAACTCTGAACTAATGAATGTCGATGAGTAGTTTAAGGCAAATAAAGTTTCATTCAATGTAGATAAAATCAAAGTATACTTTATTTCATAAAAAATCACAAGATGAAAAATTTCCTTTAAAATTACCTGATTTGATTTTAAATGATGCACTAATTAGTAAAAATGAATCAATAAAATTCTTGGGAATTATTATATTTATTACTTATTGATGAATATTTATCATATATGGTTTCCCCATATTAATTATATTCAATCAAAAATTAGTAAAACAATTGGTTTGATGTACCGTATTTGTCCATATGTAACATCAGAAAGTCTGAAATTAGTATATTAGTATACATTGTTTCATATACTATGCCAATATCACATGGGCTAGTATTCAACCAACAAAAGTTAAAAAAATATTCTATTTACAAAAACATGCATGCAGACTTATATATATATTAAAAAAATATGAACATGCAAAACCATTAATGAAAGACATGAAAATAATGAATATATATGAAATCAACATTTACCAACACCTAATTTTTATCTATAAATATAACAACAGCTTGATTCCAAAAACCTTTAATGATAAATTTACAAAAAATGTAAACAAAAAGTATTTTCTTAGAATAAACCAATGAAATACTTATAAATTACCAAGAATTAATAGTAAGTATTCTGAATATGGAATATCATACCGCGGACCAAAACTATGGAACAGTTTTAAAAAAACAAAAAATTTAAATACTGTAAAATCATTAAATTCATTTAGGTTTATAATAAAAAATGAAACTTTTAAATTATATATATATATATATATATATATATATATATATATATATATATATATATATATATATATATATATATATATATATATATATATATATATATAGTTTTTTTGATTTTTCGAAATAAAAATCGAGTTCCATTATTCTTAGTTTTTTTACTTGTTATTTGGCTCTAATTTTGATATTTAACAGAGTTGCCAGTATATTTTAATGAATATTGATAAAACAATATGATATTATTTACTTTCTTGATTTAATGGAAATATTTATGCGAGCTTTAACCTTTTTATTATATTGGAGATCCTATTTGTTTAACTTGTAAAGCCCACCTAGGGGCTCTATGAAAAGATTGTGGTGACTTTAGTCACCCGTATCTTCTTTGAGCCCCTGCCTGTTTATTATAAATCCACTTTTTTTGTATGTAAACGTTTCTTTGTAATTATATTTCTTATTATATAAACAGCAAATATATATTAAAAAAAAAAAAAAAAGTTAAGTATACTCTGACAACTGATGATATTCTGTATTTTTTCTATAAATTAGAACACATATATTCACTAAAAACATAAAGTTCAGATTTAAAACAAAAAATTATAAAAACTATACGTGGAAAGGGTCAGTACACTCTGGCGGAATCACTGATCTCTATAATAACTGGATAGCGCATCTCTATTATCAAAAGTAAAGCTAATTTTTTGTACGGCCGCCATATTGGAAAGCCCCAGAATACCTACTTATATCTACTTGACCAAGTCACATTTTTCAATGATATTATTATTTTTAAAATGTTTGAAGGTGTAAAAATTATAAAAGGGAATCAAAAACACGCAAAACATTAACGACGAAGAGATAAAGAAATAATAAAATTTGTATTGCTTTCTATGAACTTGTTAAATTTATTGAATTTATGATATTCTAAATAAAACTTTTCTGAAAGACAAATTGATATTTAATCTGGTTACTTTTGGGTGTTAATTTTAACAACTTGATGCGACCTTAATTAGCAATAGTAGCTGGAAAGTAACTTTACAAGTATAAAACATGGTAAAAACAATGTAGCAAACATTTTTGTAAATGGTTTTCTAATTTTTGAGACTCTGAGGACATGTTTATATTGTTCCACAACTGAAATATCATTAACTATGCAATACTTTATTAAAATTGTTATCACTTAATAACAATGTTTCGTTCTGTTGCTTTGCTAACTTTAATTACACTTTGTGAAGGTTTGGCAAAGCCATCTCTAACTTTAAAAAACACTAGACATTTGGTGATAACTAGTTATATGCAGTTTTACATTAAAGTGTTTAGTGTTTTAGACTAAATAACAGCATCGCATACATGTTGATTGTGTATATGTAAATATGGTATAAGTGAAAATAGACATGGTTTCTTTGAAGTTTTTTTAAAACTATTGACTTTTAAGTAAAATATTAATGATTCAGCTAACATCTATCAGTTTTATATTGATAAATATTAGTTGTATAATTAATAAATATTAAAAATATTTCTTGTCAAAACAAATAAGCAACATAAAAGACCAAAATGAAACGCGAACAATTTTTTAACAAAGTGTACATACTTTTTTACTTTTCCCTACCACATAATACCTTTTTATTCAATGTTTATTTTGTTATTAAATGCTTATACAAGTTATTCAATGAATATTTTGTTCAAGATGATAGAGCTAACTACTATTTTATTTATATTTTTTTACTTTAACATACTCTTTTGTAATTGTAATATCTATACAAATGTTCTGGTGTTGTGAAAATGTCTAATGGCATTTACAAAAATGTCTTGAAAGTATTTTTCGACAGTTAAGCGTTAAGTTAATTTATATATATATATATATATATATATATATATATATATATATATATATATATATATATATATATATATATATATATATATATATATATATATATATATATATATATATATATATATATATATATATATATATATATATATATATATATATATATATATATACACACGCCGAAACAAAATTATTAAAAGTAAATATAACGATTTGTTATATATATTGGCTAAGGAACCTTTAAGTTGTGTTACAATCAGATTGCCTAACTAATGATTCATACAGCAAACTTGTAAGCTGTTTACCTTGCAATTATGTTACAAGCCTCAGGCATTTTGCAGAGGGCGATTAAGAATCAAAAGGTGCATACAGGGAAAAATGTCTTTTTTGAAAATTTAATTTTTTATAGTTTTTTTTTACTTACTCCCAAACAACAAAACTTAAAAATTCACACTTTAAAATATAACTGAGTCTGGGAATTTAATTGTTGAAAGTGGCTGGCCACCCTGTTTACATAATTTATATATATATATATATATATATATATATATATATATATATATATATATATATATATATATATATATATATATATATATATATATATATATATATATATACATATATATATATAAATATATCTATCTATCTATATATATATATATATATATATATATATATATATATATATATATATATATATATATATATATATATATATATATATATATATATATATATATATATATATATATGTATATATATATATATATATATATACATATATATATATATATATATATACATATATATATATATATATATATATACATATATATATATACATATATATATATATACATATATATATATACATATATATATATATACATATATATATAATATATATATATATATATATATATATATATATATATATATATATATATATATATATATATATATATATATATATATATATATATATATATATATATATATATATATATATATACATATAAGGTAAACAGCTTAAAGTGTGAATTTTTAAGTTTTGTGCGGAGTTTCCTTCCACTTCTTCCTCCACCTCAGTGTGCAGGCCTTCCTCCACCTCAGTGTGTAGTAAATGTGGACTTTTCACACAGTTGTGGACTTATTATTTTTCTACTAAAGTGTGGAATCAATTTTATTTCATAAGGGACCGGCTAATAAATTGCTTGTGGGTTTGCATAACATAATTATTTTTTTTTAATGCATTGTTTTTTTTGTTTTTTTTACGCATTATTGAAACTATGATTTTTACGCGTTATTGCGAATAATTTGTATTTCGTTCAAGGAGCAGCATTTGATTACTGTAAATTTCTTTAAAAATCTTTTTTTTATGCGTTATTGCGGTTTTTTACGCATTAATATGGTTCCTTTACGCATTATTGTTAACAATTTTCATTCCATACAAAGAACTTCAGTGGATTCGAGAAGTTTCATTAAATGCTTTGAAGAATATTCAATATTAAAATCTCTTTACTATAGTTTAATTAGTAATTAATAGAATTTAATTTTTTTTGTAATTACTAAATTTAAAAGCGACCGTAAATTTTATTAGTTAACATTTTAAAATCACGAGATCTAATTACTGTCAAGTAGTATCTAATTACTATCAATTCTGTCAAGTATCTAATTACTGTCAATTGTTTCTTTTTTCATCTGCATCTATTAATTGCTTTAACTGAAGCAATTAATAGATGCAGATGAAAAAAGAAAATATTATAATTAGTAAATTAAAAAAATAATCGAAATAAATTTTAATAGCAATCTCTAACTAAAAAATCCTTTTATAAATAATATTAATATACAAATAAAATCTTGAAGATTAAAAAAAAAAACGAATGAAACATATTTAAACCCATCCTTTCTTACATATTTATACATATGTAAGAAAAATTATGTTAGTAAACAAATCAGCAACGGTTGAACTTTTCACAGTACATTTAAGTCCCATGACTTTCTCCAAAAAGCCATAAAAAAATCTAAATTCGGTCGGATATTTCACGGCGAAAACATAAAAAAACATAAATAAAAACTCCAATGCCTTCATAAAACAGCTGCAACAAGGCAGTGTTAAAACTGTGTTGTCAGCCTTTATATAATATCCATCAGATATGCGCAACATCATTGGTTATTTAACCCCGCGATCCTCCAGTGTCTTTAGTGCACTGTCAACTGTGCCACCCTGCATAATGTTTAAACTTTTTTTTACATTATCAATTTTACTATCAGATAGAGTAGCAATATCAATAATAAAATAATGATAAAAATATATAAAAAAATAAAATTTTAAATAAAAATTTCAAAAAAAAAAAAACAATACCTTGAAGTCAAAGAAAAGATTTTGCATAACCACATTCGGTAGCAAACAAGTCATTTTAACTGTTTTTTTTTTGATGGGGTAGGAGAAGCCAAACAAGACATTCAACCGCAAGTTCACTTTTTTTATCTAACAATATAAAAGAAAAAAAATTTGGACTGATGTTAAACAGATTTATAACTTTTATAAATAAACAGATATATAACCTAATATGTATACTTAAACAGATATATAACTTATAAGATATATAACAGATATATTAAACAGATATATAATTAATATGTATATTTGTTTACTTAAACAGTTATACAACTTTTGCAAATAAATAAAAATCACAAAAAGATTTTTGTAATTGTTATTCAGGTAGAATAATAAATTACATTAAATAGTGTTAAAAATAGTAAAAACTAAGATTGTTTAGTTAATCACTTTATAATTTAATAATAAACTACAATTTTTAATTGGACTGTTTAAAGTTCATAATTCACCTTCACCTTTAATTGGACTGTTTAAAGTTCATAATTCACCATCATACTTATTTATTAAGGAAAACATTAGAGTATTTAATGAGGGCTTCAATTTGGCATACTCCAAAATTTTAAGTTTGTGCCACATTTCTGCCACTCAACATACAATCGTGTTAGTATAAAATTGCAACTTTGGAATACTTTAAGAATCTAATATAAATATACATATATTTAAATTTAGACTAAAGAAGCCTTTAAGTCACAAAAAAAAAATTCAAATTTTTACAAAATTTACAGCACTGCAAACTCCATTAAAAATAGTATTGGGAGCAAATTTTTTGTTTTAATAAATAAATGTAAATAAACTGATTCTGGTATGCCTAGTAACCGCGGGTACTGAATTACAATTTCTGTGATTGATGGGAACGATGTGTTGATACATGATCGCCGATGATTTCTTGTAATCTCCATTAATTTATTTAGTTCTTCTTTGTTTTGGGCATTAGGTCCTTGTTCGCGTAGTAATCGAACAGCACTTTTAACATTATCGCTAGTTGTGAGACCTATTCTACTAGAGGCAAGACTACTGATAAAAAGTGAGGGATAAAAAAACATATTGAAATTAAAAAAAAAGAAGGACTTATCAAAGTCAATAATTGACTTTGATAAGTCCTGCTTCTCAGTAACATTTGGCCTATCTTTTCTGAAATATATAAAAATTATTTCAACTAATTGAAATCTTATCAACTTTTTTATTTTATTTACACTTGCTGAGCACAATTGTTCATCAGGTAACGCCAGCAAACTTTTGTTAAAAATAACATTTCTGCTTTTTCAATCAGCTCTCCTGACTTTACCTTTGGTGTCAATTGTTGACCACAAATAGGTCCATGCTGCTGCCTCTGCTCTGATATAATATTATCAACTCGCAGATTCTGATAAAATTAATAGAAATATGCAACTAACATAATTTTATATAATTTATTTTAGCATTTACATACTATGCAAAATATACACTTCAACATTATTGCTTTTATTAATATTATGATTATTTTTTATTGTGACATGTCTCTTTTACTGACTCCATGTATGCCATTTCAGCAATCATTTGTTAATTGTTTGAAAACTAACCTTGAAACTGATTACACTAATAGTGCTGCAGCTATTTATTCTGGATAAAACAATAACTGACTCACCAATACTCAATAAACACTGTGTGGCAACATATTCATTACCAGCTGGAATATTAACAACCGGTTGAGCCCTAATCCATTTCTGCAGTAACTTTTTTTCTGCCATCCTAAATCCTAATTTGACAAGGCCCTCTTGTGTGGTTAATACAAATGACCTTAGTGTAAAACCGGATTCTAAAATAAAGCAATATAATAAATAAGTAGTTCTTTATATGCGTGTTGATGTGAAAGGAAAAGTTTCAGACATATATTTGGGTAAATCGTTATTTTAAGTCTGTGTATTTAAAGAGAAAGTGAATATTTTCTGGGATACACATACTAAAATACATATTAAAAGAGAGAAAATCTTACCAAATAAAATATGTTGAATATCGTCAGGAAGAACAGATAATTCCAATACAGTGGCGAGTGTGTTGATTACACTCATGGTTTAAAAATATATTAACTAAACATAATCAATTCAATCAAGTTACTATATTTCCAAATTTAACAACAACACTATATATACAATCATTAGGGACATTTACAAACAACTGATGACCTGTATTAAAGAAAAAAAAAATAACTTCCTTGCCTGAGGTGGCCTAGGACTTAGGTAAGTGAATACCAGTTGTACAGTTGTTAAAAAACACTGTTTTTAAACAACTGTAAAACATTTTTTTTACAATATTTTTATATTTGCTATAAAGAAAAATTTTTAGATTAAACTTTAAAAATTATGTTATAAATAATGCTAAATAATAAAATAATTAGAAAAAACATTGCTATTGATATATATAAAGCAACTAAAGTTTACACTATTTACAAAAGAAATTATTAATTAAAAAACATAATAGGGCAATCAAACAAAGTTCTTCTTTACAGTAGTCGTAAGCAAACTATGACAATAAAGTGGATGAAAATCAGCTATGCACAGTACACATCTGAAACAGATCAAATTTAATCTGAATATCTTCTTTTGTTGCATAGCAAATTGTGCAAAAATGACTGCCAGAGAAAGACTCATCAAATCCAAGCAAACCATTGAGAGCCAAGTTGTCACAAGTAACTTGACAAAGATTTGCATAAATTGTACAAGTACCTAAAACTAGAAATACTCCTTGTAATCCAATAGTGCTTAACTCTTGTATCTCATCAACTAATTTGCTTAATATTGGCCCATGAACATAAACTGCAATATCATGAGTGTAACCCATGGCTAACAAGTGCACATTGCTAAAACAAGAGTTAAATGCGTGTGGAAAACTTTTTATAGTGTAATAAAAAACTCCAACGTTATGAACAGAGCCTTGAATTCTCAACGGATTAACTACACCCAAACCATCATAAAATAGTTAGATCTTAAGGCAAATTTTGGAGACATCACTAAAGAGGCAATGCTCTTTGAAACAACTTCTATTTGAAAAATCGGTCAAGACACCAGTTCTACACTTTTTCTCTAGAAACGCTTTTACATAAGCCTCATTCTGTAACAAATTAAATATAGTTTTTTTAATAGAAACATATTGGAACTGATTATATACAAATTTGCGATGCCCACAATGAGACTCTAATCATGGCATATAGCAGATACTTTCAGGTTAAACCATAAAAGGATGCCCTGCAAAACAAGAGTCAATGCAATAACGTGTTGATAAAAAATCAAGAAGATTGTTGCATAATTCTAATTTGGGTTGTATCTCTTGTGAAATTTGGTCAATAACTGCAAAATCAATACCGACTAATAATAAACTTTTACTAAATTCTTCTTAAAAATAAGATGATAGTAATCCAGCCATATCATTATATGACTGCACTATTGTAGGTATGATACCATAAGGTATACTGTTATTTGCACGAAGTTGTATTATAAGTGATGCTCCTTCATCTTGCAAAAAATCTTAACTATTAATTGACGAAACCACATCTAGATTAGGAGATGAATCTTTCAATTAGTTAATACAAGGGGCATAATTGTCACATAAAAACAAATTTTCTGGATTTTCTTCTATAAATGCAGCTGCTTCACTGACTCTCTCTGTGTTTATTCGGTGGTGAGTATTTAAATGTTTAATAAAATTAAACAAAACTGAAAACGAACTTATGCACTTATCTTGACGACAACATATTGGTATAGATAATTGTAGGTTGTCTTTATGTCGCTGCAAATGAACCCTTAACTCAGAAATACTATTATAACCTTTATTGCAAAGATAACATAAAAACACTCTTATAATATGCTAATTTTTTAAAAATAATTACAAGTTTTCTAACTCTATAAATGCTCGTGATGGCGGCTTAATTTATATCATGCGTTTCTTGCGCATTATTTTACTCCACACTAATTTGTAAATAATATCTTTTTAATATCTTATCTAAATTGTAAATAAAACCTTTTGATTATTACAGAATTTTCTCTAAAATTAATTTTTCTGAAATAATAACTCCACAAAACTGTGCAAATTACGGCCTTTACATTTAGCATGGAATTTTATGTCCGCACTGTCCGCGAGAGTGTACAGTTGTGTGCAGTAAAATAGTAGTGCGTATTTTATTTTTCTATCAACAAACTTTGAACATCAAAGTATATTTTTCAATTGTTTGTTTTTTATTGTTAAAGTTCATAAATTAATGTTGTGTTTATAATAGTATACAAAAAATTTAAGAAAGACAATAGCAGCACTGTATGGTTTTAAATTTTCAATACTATCGATTTAAGGTCATTCGTATTTTTTCTTAAACTGTGCAATAAAATAGTAGTGAAAAATTAGTTTTTGTGTAATAATTGCTGTACTTATTAAATTCTAATTATTATTAGTTCTTAATAATAAGCAATAAGTAACTAATTAATTTTGAGTAATTGAAAAGTAACTAAAAATTTTGAAAATTTAGAGAAACATGGGGCGCTCAAGGCATTGTATTAAAGAAGTTCGTAATTTAATTATAAATTTTAAAAATCATGGTAAAGCCTACAGACAAATATAAGAACTGGTTGGTAATGCTTTAAAATGGATACTCAAACCAGAAAAACGTGGAAATAAAAGATCAACTACCGCTATAGCAGATCGTCGAATTGTATCGTTAGCCAAAAAGGAGCCATTTATTACTTCTAGAAAAATTAAAGAAAGACTAGAATTAAATGTTGATACCTCAACTATTCGAAGACAACTAACACATGCCGATTTAAATGCAAGAACACTTAGAAAAGTGCCACTTTTGAGTAAAAGACATATCGAAAATCGTTTAAAATTTGCACGTATGCATGCTTCTTGGCCTAAAGAAAAAATGGCGAAATGTTTTGTAGACTGATGAAAGCAAAGTTGGAGTTTTTGGTTCCTATGTTCGTAAACAGTATTTTAGAAGAACAACGGGTGCAGCATATAAACCACAATTTACATTAAAGACTGTCAAACATGTCAAAAATAATGATATGAGGTTGTTTTTCTTACAATGGTCTTGGGCCGATTCATCGCATAGAAGGTATCATGGATCGGTTTGTATATGTAAAAATACTTAAAGAGATTGTGCTGCCTTATGCTAAAGAAAAAATACCATTAAAATTTTTGTTCCAGAAGGATAATGATCCCAAACATACGAGCAAGTTAGCCAAATCGTGGTTTAATGAGAACAAAGTCGATGTGATGGAGTGGCCAGCACAATCCCCCGACTTCAATCTGATTGAAAACTTGTGAATTGATGTTAAACAAGCAGTTTCTGAAAATAATCCAAGAGGTTGTAATTAATTGTGGGACGTAGTACAGTCAGCATGACAAAATATATCTGTCGAACGATGTCAGAATCTTATTAATTCCATGCAACGAAGATGCTTGGCGGTTATTACAAATAAAGGTCATGCCACAAAATACAAATGTAGAGCTTCAAAAAAAAAAAAAATTTTTTTAATAAAATTTATTTATTTTTTGACCTTTTAATAAAAAATGATTTTCACTACTATTTTATTGCACAGTAAAAAAAAAAATACGAATGACCTTCAATCGATAATATTGAAATTTAAAACCATACAGTGCTGGAATTATCTTTCTAAATTTTTTTTATACTATTATAATCACAACATTTAGTTTATGAACAAAAACGATAAAAAAAAAACAATAGAAAAATATTTTTTGATGTTCAAAGTTTGTTGATAGAAAAATAAAATACGCACTACTATTTTACTGCAGACGACTGTACCACTTCTTTTCTTGGTTCAATCATTTTATGTTCCAAAAACCACTTCTTCCAATGTGTAATTCAATCTATTTATGCTTTAAAACAATACCTTCACGACGTTTTTGCATAACTATCATTATTTATAGCTTACTAAAAACAAAACTTTTTACAAATTTAGCTAAATCATTTCATTATTTCGTATACAAAATGTTTGAAAATGATGCTTTAAAAATGTAATTATTAACTACAAACAGATAACCAAATAGTTATTAATTATTTAAAATAACACCTTTTGCTATCAAAGATTACCCTTTCCAGCAAACACTAATCCATTTGCACTCCCATCAACTCCAAAGTTTACAAACTGTGGAGTTTCATCATGATTAAATATGCGTTTAGTATCTATTATACCGTACCACACTCCTTCTGAAGTTTTTTCACTGTTCTTTATTATACCTGCTATTTTCAGTTCTTCGGCTAGTTCATTTAAATGACTTTCACCCATTTCTCTAGTGCAGTTTAAAGAACGGTTCATAGAAACTCTCCCTTGTCTCTTTTGAGTTAGACTGGGGTGTTTTGCCATGAATTTTGACCAGAAAGAACGTGATAGTTTATTTTTGAGTATTGCTTTTTCTGTATGAGACGAAAGCTTGCAGTATAAACGATGATTTTTCAGGTTTTTATTAGCATGCATACGATACTTTATTATATTTTAAATGACTGTGGACAATTCTTTTTTTTGTAATACCTTGCAGAAATCTGTTTTTATCTTTGCATAAAATACTACTGCATTCTCTTCATCCTTTTTTAAAATTGAAAAATGGTTTTTATTTTCACCAATTTTAACACAGTCTAAAATGCGATTTATAGTTCTAGTATCAACATTATTACCACCTTTTTTAACAAATTTGTAACCTCGATAGTTGTTTTTTTTAAATAATAATCCACAGCATTTGCTAAAAATGTTTTCATTTAATTCTATTTTATCTCTGTAAGAAGCCGCTTGATATTTTGTTTTAGGTATTAACCTAAGATTGAACTTTGGTCTCATTTAAATTTACTTTAACTGTAAAAACAAAATTAAAAAGCATTATGAATAATTTAAAATAAAACTTTTTAGTTGTTCGAAAAATCGTACCTGCATTTTAAGTACAAAAAACCTACATTATAAAGTACAGCTAAAAATCTGAAAGTTATTTATACAATCTATTAACCTGTATTTAATATAAAACAATTAAGAAATTATAATACAAGCTTTCAACAGAAATCAAAAGGTTGTTCTAAAGTTATTGCCATAAAATAAAACCTACATTTTAAGCTTCACATGTCAAAATAGGCCTTATTTTGTGGAGCTATTGCTGATTCATTAAAGAGTGTAAGTGCAACAAGTACAATAAAGGGAATTTAAATAAATATAAGGTATGTTCATATTCTAAAGATTAGCTTTTAGCTGTTGTGACAAAAATTTTTAAGGTTATTGAAAATTTACCTACATTTTAAGGTACAAATACCTCTAATTAAATTCATTTATCTATGTATATGAGTATATGCGTATATATTTATTTATACACATAAGGCATAAAATATGAACCTAACACATGTAATTGAATGTATAGAGAAAATAAGTATGTACATATACTTGCGCAATTAAACCAACCTGTTTTCTTTATAGCCTGTACTTTTCAAGTAGGCAAAACGCAAGTTAAATTTTCATTATTTTTTTTTTTTAAATGTGACCACTGAAAATTTTGTTTTTCAAAATTAGATTAAAAAAAGATTAAAACTCAATCTGTATTTAATTTTGTTTTAATTTTTTTGTCGCATACGCTTATGTAACCCCCGTTGCGAACAACAAATTTACCTAAAGAAATCTTTCTGATCTAAATCTATTTAAGTCTATATGTTGTTTGTGCAAGTGTTTAGTCGTATGTTGAACCATCGGCAAATTACACCAATCGTGACTCTTAACCATCTTTATTTATAACAACCATTTAAACAATTTTTAATTTTACCTAGCTCCAAGATGTTTGATTCATTTATGGGAGTTTTTACTTGAAATGTTAATGGATGATTCGTTTACATCGATAATTGAATGGACAGACGAAATAAATGGCGAATTCAAAATAAAAAATAGTGAAGTTATAGCTAAGAAATGGGGCAAACGAAAACAGATATACAACATGAATTACGACAAATTAAGCAGGTCGTTGCGATATTATTATAAAAAAGATATTATTCAAAAGGTATTGATTACACTTTTTTTATCAACTATTTTAAATAATTTTTTGTGATTAACTGAATATTTCTAAAGTGATGTCACATATAAGATAGTGTATAAAATGAGATGTATTTTTTTATAAAATAAACTATAATATAAATGCTTCGTCTTCTTTTTGTGAACAAATAAAAAAAATTAATCGTGTTGTTATTTAATGTACGCTTTTTCCTCTATATATTTGAAAAAAAGTTTTCCAATACTTTTAAAAAGTTGAAAATCAGCTGTGAGAGTCTAACCAACCGTATAGCAATATAAAGTCTGATTAAAAACATTATTTTTTTTTATATTTTCTGTTTAAAAAACATTAAAGTTCTATTGTTTTAAATAAAATATTTAATGACTCCCATAAAGGATTTTAAGTTACTATGATTTAATTTACAAAGATATATATATATATATATATATATATATATATATATATATATATATATATATATATATGTATATATATATATATATATATATATATATATAGATATATATATATATATATATATATATATATATATATATATATATATATATATATATATATATATATATATATATATATATGTATATATATATATATATATATATATATATATATATATATATATATATATATATATATATATATATATATATATATATATATTACAGTGTAAATCTTAATTACTCTTTTAAAAGTTTACTGGATAAGTTTTTATCAACTGTTCTAACTATCAAGTTAGTAGTAATTACAACAAAAATCAAGATCTTCGTAAAGTAATTGCTTTTTGAATACCTCAACACTAGGTATAAATATCAAAGTTTTAGATAATTTCTGCTACTTGGATAAACCCCGTCTTTTGTTTGCCGTTTAGCTATAGGTTTGTTACGTTCTTAAAGAATATTTTTTACGGCATGGAACTTCATATACTTCTCCATAATTTTATTATATATTGTAGTATTTTTGCTAGATTTAAAAACATTCTGCTACATTCTAAATATAGAATTATAGGGAAATAAAATACCTTTTATTAAATCCGGCAAAAAAACTGTCAATTCTTTTCTAGACATTTATGAATTTAATTCTAATCTAAAATTTGAAATTACGGGCTACATAGTGCCTAAATTGGGCTATTTAAAAGCTATATAGCGGGCAATCCTACATATTAAAATAACGCGGATATATTTTGACTTGAAAATTAAGCTAAAAATAAGTAATGAATTTAACTTAATTTTTTTTAACTTTTGCAACTTTTGTTTTTACATCACTAACACTTGTGTCAAATATTTTATAAAAATTTATTTAAAACATATTGTATTATACATTTTACATTAGTAGAATTGTAGCGGGTTGTTTTGTTTTTTTATAGCTACTGCATAAGTATGTAGCGAGCTACATACTTATGTAGAAACTATGTATTGGGACACAGGCTATGCAGTAGCCTGTGTCCCAATACATGAATTTTAAATATGCTTTGCAATGTACTCTTTTACTAAGGCTATCAACAGGTACCAACCCGTTGCTCACAGCATGGGTAGCATTATTAAATGACGGGTAATCATCATTTGATAAGTTTTAAATTCATTTCATTCATCTTGAAAGTTTAAAATCATTATAGCTTATATAACAATTTAAAAATGTTAAACTGTTATGAGGAATATGATCGTGAAGATCTTGTTGTTACAAATTTCTATTGTTACAATCAATGTGGACCAGAGTGACCGCCAGGTTAAGTTGTTCCACAGGTCTGATATTTTTTTTCAATAGTTGGGTATAAATTAGTAGGCATTATTTATGCCGTTAAAAACTTCTGAGTGATTGGACTAAGTCAAAAAAAGCTGTTTGTCTTACACACTTCGGTAAAAAGTTATCTAGAATTCAAAAGATTACTCCAGCAATTGAAACAAAGATAAAAACCATCGTCTGAAACCAGTATAGTTTAGATGTAACCAACCATCCCAAGGTTATTTGTAACAACTGCCACAGAAACCTCCATGATCTCAACAGAAGCAAAACAGAGTACTTAGGGAACTGGATAGAGAAAATATCAAAGGTAAAATTCATATTAATTTTTTTTATTTATAATAATTATTATTACTTTCTAGTTAATACTTTGTTTTATTTACTATCCCACAGTTTCTAAACTAAAAATATAGAATGGAATTTTTTTTTCAATAGATGTTATTATACATATACATGTGTTAAAACATAATACATGTGTTTTAACACTAAAAAAGTACCTGGGTGTAAAAAATAAAAAAATGTGTATAACTTTTTACATTATATATACAACACTATAAGTATATGAAATACATATAATTAGAGTAAGTATGACAAGCAATTAGGTATTTGAGTATAATGTGTATATATGTAGTATATACATATAAGTTATACAAAACACGTATATAAAACATGTGTATTGTATAAGACAAACAACTTTTTGCTATTTATTTATTTACTGTTTATTAACTATTTATAGTGTAAGCTTAAGTTTTAATTATATAGTATATATAGTTAAACTTTAAGAGAACAAAGTGTAAATAGATTAAAATGCCATTTAGTATGCTAAAATAATATCACTTACTGACCAATATTTTTTCCATTAATTTAGATTGATAGAATGGATCTTAAAAGATCATCAAATATCAATGACATTGTTGATGAAATTAATGCGTCTAATGATTCTAAATGTGCCAAGTTCTCCAAACTACATTCAACATGCTTTGGTTTTGTAGGTTAGAATTTTATTATTATTGTTTATTTTTTTATAATTATAATGCTTCACATAACAAAATTTATTGTGCTTAATAAAATACTTAATTAATACAAAATTTTGTTCATTTGTTTTCAAACAAAAATATTTAGTGCAAGGAGTAATTCATATCTGTAAAGAGAGAAAAGCTGTTAACAATCTCATTGTAGCAGCAGAACAGCTTGAACCTAAATATTCAGAACGGGTAGCCTTAGGCAAGTGTATTAAGCTGTTCTTTTAATATAGATACATATTTTAAAATTCCAAATAGTAAACATATTTTACTAATGTATGTTGCCAGGTATACTTAAGCACAAGATGGAAGCTGAAAATATTTGTAGAGGTCAGAAGTTTTAGCTGGCTACTCAAGGGTCTCCTTTGAACATTGTGGTTCGAACTCCTGTCAAAAAAACTGACTGAATTGAGCTGAAACAGGTGTCTTTTGGTACTGTTATGGAGTTGATTAAATCTTTTATGCTTTCAAAAAATCAAACAAGGAAATTTTGTTCCAAATATAAATTTAGTGTGGGAACTCAAACCTGCATTGAAGCGAACATCTTTGAAAAAATTGAGGCTCTCCATAGTCGTATAGATGAATTTTACAATTCTAATGAAGTAGATTTTATGGATGGTGAAGAAGTCATTACTATAACATTGGTTCATGTAAAAGATACATTAACATTTATACAGCACATGACTCCATATTGAGAATAGCTATGAATTCAGGTCAGGGATTCCTTAAAATGTAAATGTTTATTATCCCCTGGAAAAAACTTCTTTATATTCAGAGCTAGATGATGCCGGAGTAAAGAAATCTTTTCTTATAGTAATTGTTGAGGGAGTTTCTGAAGCTAAGGATAACCTTTGGAAGCTTAGTGAGCCTCTGAATTTAAACAATGTAAAGTTTTACGTTGCATTTGATCTTAAATATGCAAATTCAGTGTTCGGATTTAGTAGTCAAGCTGGGAAATACAGTTTATATAGTGAGGGATGCTGCACTCTTAAGCATGGTATCAAGAGAACACATAGGTCCTTGCATAAACACTACAAAAACTTCACCCTTGATGGAAAGAAGAAGTTAAAAATGTCGCACTTTAAAAAATGTTTAAAACTTTTGTACAGAGAGGAAGATCCTGAAACTCTTCTTGAGTAGTTGGTTCTTGTTTCTGACATTCATATTTTAATGGGAATAGTAAGTAAACTTGCAGTACTTCTGGTTAGTATATGGCCTTTGTTTGAGAAGTGGTTACAACCAAATTACATCATGTTTTGAGGATACTAAGGGGTAGGATTTGACGTAGAAAACAATATAAACAAGTTCCTGAAGTTGGTGGATATACTTGAAAGAGATATTATAAACTTTAGAAAATATGACTTATTACCAATAGTAAACTGTCTCAGAAAGTTTAAATGCCTTCAAGCAGAAGCATTTAGTATGGTATCAGGGGATAAAATCAGTACTGTTCTTTTGGAGTTTAAAAAGTCAGCAGATTTTATTGAGTACGTGCATACCACATTTGAGGGTATTGTGTGCAGTGTTACATGGAAAGTTCACATAGCAGTATGTCACATACTTCCTTTTCTTCATTCGACTGACCGTGGCCTAGGAGTTTACTGTAAACAAACAGGAGGAGCTATTCATCATGAATCCAAAAAAACATGGAATAGATACAAACGAAAAGTTAACCATATAGATTATACAAAACGGCTAAAATCCAGTGTTGTTGAGTTTGCATCACAAGCATTAAATAATTTAATAGTTACATAATTTAATTTAATTTTTATATTTTTAAGTATATATTTTAAAGTATATTATTATAGCATTTAGACTTGTAATATAACTAATTAATATAAAACTTTTTAATTTTTACTTTGATTTGTTTAGGATAAGTTATACCTATTTTTTGAAATTTTTTGTTATTTCTTTCTCTATTTTTTTTTTTTTTGAAATATTTTCTAACACCATAGAAGTTTAAAATGTTGTAAATAGTGTTTGCTAATGTATGCCCAACTATTGAATAAAAATTAGACCTGGGGAACATTTAATCTGGCGGTCACTCAGGTCCACAGTAATAAGTTATAGCTACTTTTTACTTTTTTTGGCCTAATTTTGTTTTGGAAATTCCAACACCCCAGAAGTTCTAAATGTTATAAATGGTGTCTACTAATGTATACGTAACTATTGGGAAAAAAATTAGACCTGGGGAACAACTTAACCTTGCGGTCACACTGCGATCCAAAG